TAATAATAATAATAATAATAATAATAATAATAATACTTTAATAATTTAATAATAACCTCCGGCTGAAGAATCAGTAGCTATTCGCGCTCCCTGCGTTACAGCAATCATTTCTCTCCATGCATCGTTTGCAAGTGTCTTGAATTCTACCATATCATCCATTACATCGTTGTACAGGGCGCTGATATCGTGGCACAGAACCACCGCCACAGCCAGACAGGCCACGATCACAATGCCGCTCACTGCCGATGCCGCACATACAACGTACTTCGCGTGCATATTCGTGCCAACCCTGCAACTGGCCTGGCTCGATAACGTAGGGCCCGCAAATGACCCAGGCAAACGGCAGAGATTCAAAATGGCTGAGGTGAGCGTGCCTAACCAATTCAGCCGGTGCTGAACCCTTAGCAAAAATGTAACGTTCGGGAGGAAGAGTGCCTGCTTGGCTGCGGGGAACCGCTCCGGCAGTTGAGAGGATGCGCAAGATCAAGCAACAAGACACACTTCTTTATTAGTACAATCTCACAAAGAATAATTAGAAAAGAAAGCAACCAGCCTGGGATCCGCCCGGCAGCAATTCCAAGTAGCTACTGGAAAAACGCAACAGTTTAAAGCGGCAGCAGCTTCAAGCTGCCGCCGCGCACCTCCAGATTACGTCAAACAAAACAATCACAATTACAGTTTCATTTCCAATCATCACATTAAATATCACGGAGGGGGGAACTCGAGCCAAGAAACGGCACATTTGCATAGTACAGAAAACCGAAGGGCAACTGGACAAGACGAAAGGGTTTTAGCCTCCAACTTCGCTTCCTTGTTACTGGCTGCTTCTTTTGCAACAAACACACACACAATCTCTTGATAAAAACAGCCTGCGAATTGAAGCGATTTGATACAGAAAAATTCGAAGCAGTTGGAAATACTGGCAATATCATATTGGATATACTGGCAATATCACAGCAGTTGGAAATATCATTTTAGAACATACGTTTTTGGCACTGGACAGCACCCAATTCGACAAGCAAGATCGCACGGATAATCGGTGTGGGTAAAGCCCCATTGCCTTGCGCCTACTGCGATTATCCAGGCCCTTCGATTTCGGGTCGCACACCTTTTTTAGCTGGCATTCACTGCCTGTTCGATGTATGTGTGCTACCTCTTCTTCAAGCAAGGTGAAAAATGAAATAAATTCAAAAACACATTAGTAATTTAAAAGCGAAACTGAAATGTTTTTGTCTCCTACTGAAAGAAGTGTTTCTGTTTGTAATTGGTTCCATCGCGCTGTTGTCTGATCTAATATAATTAGTGGGAAAAAAAAATTTACGATGTGAGTGAAAAAAA